ACCCAAACCACTCTGATTCTGTGATTCTACATCAGGAAAAGAGCTGCTTTCTGCAAGCTTCAAGAGGAGTCAAGTCTTGCTTGTAAGGAGTAGGAAGGAGTAGGGGTTTGTATTGTTCTTAGAGACATCATAAACTTGTGCAGTCACTTCTAAGTAGATTTAAGTACTGGGAAGATAAATTCATCTATGAAGTAGTGAAAGGAAACAGCAAATAATTAGAAGGGATGTGTTATTTCAGACTTAATGCATTCTGTCATCACGAGTGCAACTTTATTTCAGGAAAAGTGATGCACTAGACTTTACTGGATTAGTAGAATACATACCCAATGTCACCTGTGCCTCAGCATGGGTCAGTGTTACTTTTTTGTGGCAGCTTCATTAATTTTAAGCACATCAGTCTTCAACACAAGGCCAAATTTATCTTTGCCAGCTACTTGTGCAGGGGTTTGGAGAGAATATTTTTCTCTTTGTGGTCTTTTGTTCTGGATTGATATAACTTCCAGGATAACGGTAGCAGCTCAAAATTAATGTTGTGGAAAAATGTTTCTCGGTACTACTCCATACTGCCTAGTAATGTCATCTTTTATTCAAAGATTTTAAAATACAGTACAAGCTGTAATCAGCATTAGTCTCAAAACAGCATTACAGTAATTGAGTACAGTCCTGACTTTAAAAGACCCAGGTTATGTAGGCTATTTCTCCTGAGATGCTGGTAATGCGAATTTTAAGGATGGAGGGGTTGCTGTTATTCATAGGCCTCAATTAAGATCAGGAGGATGAAGAAAGCGTTCCCTCCTAGAGCTGAGGCTTGATGGCAGTGTCTGCAGCAGGACGTAATTCCCTAGCTCCAAGAAGAGCAGGCCGTGCCGTCTGTTGCAGCAGCTTTGCCGCAGAGGCTGTAGTCTCCCACAAAGAGATTATAATGAGCAGCTTGGATGGGCAGCTTCTTGAACTGCCGTCTGTTTCCATGCGATTGTGTGACTGTGCCCTAAATTTAAGGATGAAGGGGTCCTGTCACGTGGCATTCATGCTCCTGACGTATCGGTTGTTTACAAATAATGTAGGGGAGAATCAGAAGATTCCTCTGAGTTTTGGAATAGAAATAGCCATGAAAATAGGAGCTGATAATAGAGATGGGTATGGGGAAGAAGGGAGTAATTTAGGCTGTTAGAAGGCTGTGTCTTGAAGCTGTGACTTTTTCACAAGACAGTTGAGGAAGGGCTCCTGCTTTTAAAAACCTTTTTAGGTGTGTGTGAAGTCGACTTCACGATGAAGGACTCTAATGATGTAACTTCAAGCCCCTTCTCTTGTGATTTGTCAGATGCTGTCCAAAATCAGTCCTCTTTCCGTTTTATGAGCAACACAGTTGTTTTCCCATGGAGCGCTCTCTCAAAGGCTGGTTGTTTTCTACCATGATCTCGGAAGACTTAGAAGATTTTCTCAGTGCTGTAGCTCTAAGCTGGAGTTGGCAAGTTAGGTGTTGGAAGGGAATCTGAGAGACTTGAGACCTTTCTAGATGTCATCCTAAAAATCAGTTAAATAGTTAATTGTAGTTCTTGTGAAGTGTTTTGAAATCTGCAAATAAATACAGTTCATTAAAGTTGGTAATTAAGCATGATACAGAGCAGTTATGAGGATCCTGCAAGGAAATGCACTGCCTCCTACTTCTTGGTTTTTTGAGTGTGTTTCAATTTTTTGTTGTATTTCGTTATTGTAGTAGTTTTGCATGCAATTAATTGAGACAGTTAAATACTACAGTTAACTTAGTTTCTTGGCTGCTTCTCCCTTCATTCTTTCTAGAGCTTCGTTCTCTCTAGAGCTGACTCTATAAAGTACTTGACAAAGTAGAAATCAAAATCAAATGGAAAATAAGGTGATTATTTGGTTTTGAAGAGGGAAAAAAAAAGGATGATAGCAATTTTTACCTAAGTAAACTCTTGAAATTTGTTGTAGGCTCTTGATGTGAAAGATACAATAGTTCATGTTCTAGTGGAAGGTGTCCCTGCCCACGGCAGGGGGGTTGGAACTAGATGGTCTTCTCCGACCCAAACCATTCCACGATTCTGTGTTTAAAGCAGGTCTAAGCATGAGGTGCTTTGAGGTTGGTAATCATGGGGTTGCCGTATGGTTGGTTACTTGGGCCATTCCCAGTGGAAGTGGTGGTGCATGTATGGTTTCTGGTTGATTAAATGTGGGTAGCTTTAAACTGCCATTTGTCAAGGTCTAATTTCATTAGTGGCTTCCTTTCTCTGTGTACCTTTTCTTTGCTCAGTTGAATCTAGATGCCAAGATTAGCCCGATGCACTGAAGTAAAAGTTCATAGACACAGTTCTCTAGGCTAGGGATAACCACTCCTCTACTTTAGTAAAAATGTACCTAGAACAACACTACTTGTCAAAAAAGATTGATAAATCACCTTGTAATAAATTCATTTTCATGTTTTATTGTGTTGTAACTTTACTAATAAGACTGTGACTTGCCAGATAAAGTTCATAAAATAATGATTTGTGCAGGTAGATGGCCTGTTATGAACAAAGCCCAAAATAGCCATGTACTTGCGCTTCTTAGGCAGTTTAGAGTTGCAGTCAAGGTTTTTGGTATTGTAAAACTAAATACACAGTTGAGTGCTTTTTTGCAGCAAGCCTTCAGCTGTGCGGGCAGATGTTACTACAGTAACATAATAAAATCAGGCTACCTTAAAAGTGAAGTGTATTCTTCCCATTGAGTCATTCCCGCCCAAATGGGAGGGTGTTCTGAGTCCTTGCCTTGTAGCATTCCCTGTTCTGGAGAGCAGACAGGCTGTAGATTGGTGAGAGCGATCCAAGGTTATATGTGTAGGATTTGCTACAGCTCTTGGCCCTGTTCTGTCACATAACCTTTGTGATTGCGTCCTGTATTGCTAAGGCCGTGAGTGCAGCAAGCGTGCCTGTAGGTCAGGGTGTGGAGGGAAGATGCTGTAACACTGAGGGAGATCTGAAAGGGGTAGGCTTGGGGAAATGAAGGTAACAGTGAGATTCAGTGTTAAGAAATGAAGCTTTCCACATGTTCATGTAGACCCTGTCACATTGTGACTGGAACTGAGTTTGCATTCTTCCAAATCATCTGGATCTAACCAGCTTCTAGGTCTAGACAGACAAACCCTCCTCTTCGAGAGCATCCCCCAGGAAGCTTTCGCTGTAAGGAAGAGCTCTATTGGCATGTCCCTGGAAGTGAAGCTCAGTGGCCTTGTGTTGGTTAAACTCTGTGTGCGGGGTTCCTAATTTTGATATAAACGCTTCACAGTGAATTACAATCCCTACGCTGAATGGACACTGATTTGTAAAGCTTCACGTTCTTGAGCAAAACTAGAAAATCCCCAAAGTATGAGGGCAGGACTCTAGGTCTCCTTTAGGTTAGCATGGCTGCTGTCTTGAACTGAATGTAAGTTTGTAGGGGAATACTAATTGTAATTTACAACTTCTGGGTGTTAGAAGGAGAGTTCTTGCATTTGGAAAAACCAAACCCCATTATATGCTTGAGGGCTTAACTTTTGACCTGTGTTTCCATGAGCAGAAAAGTGAGCAAGAACGATAAACTTCCTGTCGTGACCTAACACAGAATTAATCAAAGAACAAACAAAGCACATACATGGTTTCCTGAAACAGTGTACTAAAGCAATTTAGTGTTTATAAAATTCTTTTAGAATTAGATAGCTAATGCTAATCGGTGTAGGAAATCTTGGCCTGTGCACGTGGAGCATATTTAACTTTCTGTATTTCCTCCCCCTGTTAATCATGAAATCGCAGAGCCTCAGACAACAGGGAGGTGTCCTCTTCCAGCAGCTGGTTGCTTGATCATCAGCACATCAAGAAAAGAAGAAGAGACAGGACAAGGCTAAGATCTCTCTCCGTGGCTAATTTGAGCACATCTGCCCGAACAAGGCCGCTTCATAGTTTCCAGAAGAGGAGACTCTACCGAATGCACGGTGCCTGTTACTGGAATCAGCAGGTAGGCCCTTGCCTCTGTCTTCGGGAGACAAAGCCAAAGAGTCCAGCTGCTAGAGCCTGCGTGTGTCCTGTCTGGTATGTCAGAAGAAGAGCGCATGCTGTGCTGGTTATTTGTTACGTTCAGGGAGCATATAGTATATGTGACGGGAGTACTGGCTGTGTCAGCAGGAGCTCAGAGTTAATGAGTTGAACATAAAAATTAAAGATTGCTCAGAATCCTGCTTATCAAATCGGTTTGTATGGCTATCTTTAAAGCCTTTGTACAGCCCAAGAGACAACCCGAGAGCTTCCTTGGGAGGCTTGACTGCTTGAGGAAACATGCTGCAGTGTAAATCAGCTGCCTGCTTGTTTTCAGAATATTTGTTTTAGCTACAAGAAAGTTTACACAGCTGGTGGCACATTATTTTCTAGGAAATTAAATTGCAATATCTTAATCTTGTTTCCGTTTTTGCTGTTCCTGATTAGCTATATTGCCTTTTTCATGACACTTTATGAATGTGTTAAAACTCCTAAAATTTTCCGCATTACAAAGGAATTAATAATTTAAAATGGGGAAAAATACCATTGTTGCACAGGACAAGGTGTATCTGTTCACGTCTGATATTAATAGCATATTGCTGGTAACAGTATATGATGAGTTTAGCTGTGGTGCTTAAAGCAACCGTCTAATTTGGGAGCAGAGATGGTATGAACTCGTTCTTTAGAGCAGTGTGAATCCCAAGCGGTTTTAATTTCTTGATTTTACTTTGCCTTTTGAAAGTATGTGATACTGAGAGCAATCTCCATGTCTCCTCGGCTAACTGTCTAGGATTTACTAAATCTACTAGTGGTCTGGGGAGAAATTTCCCCTGCAAGGATGTTCCGTGAGAGTGTGCTGATTCATATCCTCTGCAATATTGCAGAAATGTCCTAGTTTTAGCAAGATACTTGATTGGAAAACTGTCTGGCTTCTTATTAGCTTGACTTCCCAGCTTCCTGGCAGTGGGGCTTAAAGACTTGGCAGCCAGCCTGCAGGGTTGATGGTGGGGGTTGGAGGGTTAGGGTTTGTGAGCTCTACCTCCTGGACACTTAGGCTTTTCATCTTCCTTGCATTAAGCAAGGAGGCTATTGCTGACTTGGACTTCCTCGTTTCCCATTCAATCCAATCCGTGTCTGGATAAAGAGGTTGGAGGTCTCATTCCCGGACTCGTGCCTCCAGTACAAGTGCTGCTTGCAGCTGGGGAGATTTCTCCTCAGCAAGAGACTCCAGGACTTTGCCTGCCTTCTCCTTAAACATGAGGGGTTTCCACTCCAGATGCAACCTGTAAATAACAGGCTCTTCTGGAAGCCTGCATCTTTGCAGGCTCATGTATCTCGTATTTCTAAGAGCACTGCCTATGTCTCTGTCTTTTGCAAACTGTGCCAGGGTTAGTGCAGTTCAGAGAATAACAATAGAAGCTTGTGAAACAGAAACTTCATTTCTGCAGCCCAGCAGCAGGAGTGCAAAGCAGAGGTTACATTTCTGTCTTTAACCAGCTGTACAGCTGAGCTGCTTTGCGGGCTCAGTAGTTTACCTTGACTTGTAGACTAAAAAGATAAATTTGTAGTTTCCCTTTGGTTGTAGTCTGCAATCAAAAAGTGCATTTTTTAGATACTAGTTAAGGCTTCAAGTATTGCAACTGGTACAACTGTGTCTGCCCCGTGCTCTTGACGTTTCTAGTGCTGGTTTACCACGTGCTAGCCCAGCTCCAGTGTCTCTGTACCGAAAGTGCAGAGATGTCCCAAAGGCAGAGTGGTAAAAACCGTGTAGGAAATGCTGTTCATGCTTACTGCAGCTCTCAGCTTGGAAGCTGCTGTTGAGGTCTGCTTTCCAATGTCCTCTCCATGGGGAAGTTAACGGAGAGGCCATGTGGAGAACTGTGTTATGTGCTAGAGAGAGATTCTGCTCGTGTTCCTGGAGAAAAGCAAGGGTGGTGGCAGCAATCAAGCTGTCAGTATTAGATTTCATGCAAGTGCCAAACTCAACCGAAGTTTTCAGAATTAAGGTAAAACAGTGAACAAAGCCTCTTACACAGTGTTAGTTAAAAACAGCGTATCAGGGATCCTGCTGGGGAAGTAAGGGATAAAATTGGACTGGACATTTTCAGCACATTCTGACAATAAAACCTACCGAGTCTGATTTATCAGTGTGTTGTTCCATTCAAGAAACCGTATTCTAACAGGCCCTGTCACTTGTAGCCCTGCACTTGCTACACTTGGTTAGCCAGCTGTTGATGAGGTTGCTCAGCTTGAAATGGAAGAACGCTGGCTATCAGCCCAGGCTGACTGCTACATTAGGCAGATGTCTAAGGGTAAGGATGCAAAATGGGGAACGGCCTCTGGGACTGATACCTAGTTTTCTTTGAAAATGCATTTATATTCCCACTAGTAATCCAGTGAATTTCCTCTGACCTTTCATAGAAAAAATGAGTTACTTTCTAGCAGCATGGAAAACAGTTGGATTTTTAATGTAATGTGACTGTGCCATCTCTAGCAAATGCTTCTGCCGCATTATCGAGCGGTTGGGGCTGGTCCAGAGGAGGCCACGAAGATGCTCCGAGGGCTGGAGCACCTCTGCAATGAGGACAGGCTGGGAGAATTGGGCTTGTTCAGCCTGGAGAAGGGAAGGCTCCAGGGAGAACTTATTGCACCTTCCAGTGCCTGAAGGGGCTACGAGGAAGCTGGTGGAGACTTTTTCCAAGGGCCTGTCGTGACAGGACAAGGGATAACAAGTTTAAACTGAAAGTGGGGAGATTGAGATTGGGCATCAGGAAGAAAGTCTTCCCAGAGAGGGTGGTGAAGCACCTGGACAGGTTGCCCAGAGAAGCTGTGGATGCCCTATCCCTGGAAGTGTTCAAGGCCAGGCTGGATGAGGC